GGTGGGGAGTGTGAGGGGGTAGAGTTGCGGGGGGAGCAGTCATGGCCTCTAGGACCTGTTTCCCTGAGGCCTGCTTTCTGTGTCTGGGAACTGGAGTCCTGGTCATGAGGGCAGCTGGCATGAGTGGTGTGTGTGTGTGTGTGCACGTGCGTGCGTGCGTGCGTGCGTGCGTGCATGTGTGCATGTGTGCATGTGTGTGAATGTTGCCTTAAGCCACTTGGTCCTCGTTTCTAGTCACCGGTTGTCTCCACAACTGGCTGTGGCTGCACTTTGCTCTTTAGCTGGGGACTTTGTGAATGGCAGAGAACAGGACCCAGGCCTATGGTTCAGGTCCTGCTCTCTCACCCAGGGTGGAGCACAGGCAAGGCAGAGGTCAGTCGTATGGGGTAACCACAGGAGAGCCTTGCTCTGCTTTTATACTTCAGGCTCCTGCCATGGCTGATGAGTGGATCTCATGCCCAGGCTGAGCATGGAAAGTAGAGGAGGGGAGGCTGACACCCCAAGCTTCCCAGTGGTCTGGATAGCCTAGGCAAAGTGGAGGTCACATCAGGGCAGGAATGTGGGAGATGGGCCAGGCTGGTCTGAGACCGGGGCAGCTAATGGGAATACCCTTGCATTAGACTTTGCAGTAAGCACCCTCTGTCTCCCCTCCAGGTGTTCTTCTGGACATCCAGCAGCACTTTGGGGTCAAGGACCGGGGTGCCGGCTTGCTGCAGTCAGGTAAGGCCTATTCTTACCTCGCTATCTGCCCAGGGGTAGCAGCTCTGCTCAGCCTTCATTCTCTTGGTCTCTTCTGTCCTCAAATCAGAACGAGGGTGGGCATTGCAGCAAAATCCCACTATTCCCTTCCACCATGGGCCCTATCCTTCTAAGGCCCAGCTTCTTTTCTTGTAAACCAGAATACACGCACCTATCCCAAGTGGGTGTAGAGACAACGGAGAGCACAGGGTCGGAGCCAAAGCCCACCAAGGGGACCCTTCTTTGGGGTTCTAAGATATCAGCGGTACCCAGTGTCTTGGCCCACTTGGTAAAAAGGGAGCCAGTGATGTGGGTGATGCCAGCGGAGCCTCAGTCCCTGTTCCTGTCACTGCACCTCCCTCCACGCCTTCATTCTGATCCATTTAGGAATCAGCTCTTGAATGACAAGGGATGCCACCACCTGTCAGCTTCTGAGGGACTCTGAGGTCCTGGGTCCTGTCTAGGCTTGGCCTGAGGGTTCCTGCCTCTCCTTCCTAGGATCCCGGCCTCCCCATGGGCCATCAGAGGCAGGACCTAAGGTCTTCTGGGCTGTGGCAAATACAACAGAGGCTATGGGGGAAGCCACTGTGCAGCTGCCCTAGCCTCTCAGTTTCCTGTCTGGAGACAGAGACCATGTCTCCCTCTTCCTTGCCCTACCCTTCAGGGGCCTGTAGGATCTGTACTCTTGGCTCCCTGGCCTAGCTTTGGCTATTACCACCATGGCCTAAGCTGGCTCTTGAAGGTCTGCTGGAAACTCAGTCCAGTATGGGATCCCAGGATGTCTGGTCTTGACTGGGCTCCAACCTTGTTGTAATGACTCCAGCCTGTCTCTGGGCCTGGAGTTCATCTGGCTGTGAACCCTAGGCAGGCTGGTGTGTGGGAGAGCTCTCTCTGGTTTTGCATTCCAGCCCATGAACCCTTCCCCAGCCTAGCTGTTCTGGGAGGGTGGGGGTGGAGGGAATCTGCCTTGGAACCTGCCTGACCTGTCTAGGTGGCATTCCGTATGCACAATGGCCCCTAGAGCTCCCAGAATGACACTGCCATGGCACGCAGCACCTGCCCAGGCCCCTCAGAGAGCACCCAGCTCCTTGTCCCTGAGCAAAGATCCTGGATAGGGTCTCTGGCTCAGAGAGAGATCTATTTACTGGCTGTAGGACTCCTTCTTAACAAGTGACACTTAACTAAGGAGGGGCAAGGCTGTGTGGTCTCATGTCCACATAGTGGTCAGAATTCTACCCCAACAGCTGTGGCCTCCACCCAAGCCATGAGCCCAGGCCTTTCTTTCTGCTTCCTGGCCTCCCTGGCTGGGCTGTCCTGCTCTGTGCACAGTGGTCACCCAGAGGAAGGGGTCCTGGCCAGTGGTGGTATGGGAAGAGTACACTGCACAGCTCTCCTAGACCCTGGCCCCTACCACACATGGTCCCTGAGTCCCCAGGAACCTGGATGAACCTTATCCCTCTGGTCCTAGCCTTGCTGGTGATCTGGAGGGAGGTTGTACGCCAGCTTCCTTCAACTACCCTGAGTGTGGTCAGTCCTACCTGACCTCTTGGGGGGATGGGAGGTACCAGTTCCAGAGAATGTAGGAGGTCAGGCCCTGATTCCTTCAGCAAGTACCTTCCAGGTTGGATTCTCTCTTCATAAGAGGGCGCATGGTTCCCTACTGATCTCCAGGGACCTGGCTGGAAGTGGACCCCACAAATATGGTCTCCTTTGATTGTTCCAGAACCCTACGGGCTCCCTTTGCCAAGTTCTCTTGCTGGTGAAAGAGGTGGGCCAAGGGAGGGGAGCAACTTGCTGAGTGAGGACTTGAGGCAGAGGGACCCTGCCGCTGCATGCTGCTGCCCTCTTGGCTCTTGGAGTTCGAGTGTCTGGCATCCCAGTGTCCCCACAGATGAGAACTCCCAGCCTTCTCAGAGTCTCGTGAGTCCTTGCCCCATGGCCTTCACCCTGCTGTTTACTGTGATGCAGCTGGGATGGCTCCCCGCAGTGTCCTCACCCTGTTGGCCATTTCAGCTAAGAAGCTGGGCAAGCTCAACCAGGATGTGACTCAGTGGGCACCAGAGCAAGGCACCTAATTGGCCTGTGCCCCGGGCACCTGTCTCTCCGCTGAGCCTGATAAGGTCGGAGCTGGTGGAGGGCGCCAGTGAAGTGTTGCTGCTTGCCTGGATCAAAGGGCCAGGGCTGAGAACAGTTTATTTGTGGGCTCCAAGGGCTTTGGGGCTGGGAGGATTGTGAGGAGATAGAGGGTTTGGCTTGGGCCTGCCCTTCCTGTTAGCCCCTGGGAAGGGGTCCACTGTCAGCATCCCCTTGTACAGTGCTGCTGGCTCAGCTTGGCTTCCGTGGCAGCCCACAGTAGAACTCTAGCCATCGGGGGAGCCTCCATAGCTCACACCGGAAGGGACAGCAGCTACTGAAGCTGTTGCTTGGCATGCCCTGGGCTGGGTGTTGTTCACGCTCAGGCCCTTCTAGCAAGCAGAGTCCCCCACCGTCAGTGGTAGCAGAAAAGGCCATTCAGTTACAGCTCAGGTCCAGGGTTCAGTGTGGAGCCTGGAGAGAGATGGGCTGAGTGTGCGCCTAGCTGTGGCTGGTGGCGGGTGGGAAAGGCTTCCCAGAAGAGGGACTATTTCAGCGGGGCTTTTTCATTCATGGGAAAGGACATCTGGTCAGTTTGTCAGTAGATGTCAGAGCCCCATCTCCCCCTCCACCCCTGCTCCCACCCACACACACACCTCGCTCTCCTAGCTGGGAGAAATATGCAGAGAAAACCCGTTTAAATTACATAGCTGTACTTGAAAGCTAACAGGGAATTCCCAGGTGCCAGAAGCAAAGAGCTGCAGTCAAAAGCTGGACTGGGAGATGGAGCTGCGGCCAGGTGCTTCAGAGCACCAGGGGCAGTTGTGTGTGCTGGGCCCTTGGCAGTGTTCGTAACGACATTTTCACAAAATTTCAAACGTGCGCAAAAGCAGACTAGCACCACGGGCTTCCCCCAAGTGCTGGTTCTGTAGCTTCCTGGGTGCGCTGCTGGTCATCTTCCAGGCTGGGGAAGGAGTTTTTACCCGAAGCTCAGGCCACTGCTGGCTTGGGCTTCCAGGGTCACGAGGCTGACTCAGTTTTCCCTCAGAACTCAGGCAGGCTCCTGATCCCAAGCTTGTCTAGGCTGGCCGACGGCTCGACTGGTCGTGTTCCCATTCCAGGCAGATGTTTCCTGCCTGCCTCTGACTTTCTGCAGAGAGCCGGCTGCCAGCCCTGGCACCCTCAGGCCTGCTGCTTACTCCTTTTTCCGTGGAAGCCATCTGTTTCCAGGGACCCCAGCAAAAGCAAATCCAAGGGACTCTTTAGGGAAGCCTTCATGATGTCGAGACGGCGTGGACACAAGTGACAGCTCTCCCTGAAGACAAATCCACATCCAAAACGAATAGTGCCTGATGCTCTAGAGGACCCGGGTTCAATTCCCAGGCCGTCTGGTGTCTGATCACACCAGGATTAAAAAAAAAAAAAATGAATAGCACACACAGTAGGGCAGAGAATGTGATGAGTATGTGATGTAATGGAGTGCTTGCCTCACAGGTTCAAGGCCTTAGGCTCCATCGTCAGCACCAGGGGAAAAAAATAGAGGCCACAGGCAACTCATCTTTGTGAGAAGCAGGTCCTGGAAACAGCTTGAAGAACTACAGAGAATAGCCTAGTTTTTAAAGGATTGTAGAAATAGGTATAATTAGCTAGGCATGGTAGCTCACACCTGACATCCCCAAGCCAAGGCAAGGGGATTACTATGAGTTTAGGACTAGCCTGGGCTACAGAACAAATTCCAGGATAGCCTGAGCTAGAGTGAGACCCTGTCTCAAAAAAAAAAAAAAAGCCCTAGGAATGCTTAGTTTTAAAGTTTAAAGGAAGTCATGATATATATAAAAAGAATAGCAAATGCCAGGCAGTGGTGGTGGCACATACCTTTAATTCCAGCCCTCAGGAGGCAGAGGCAGGTGGATCATTGTGAGTTCGAGGCCAGCCTGCTCTACAAAGTGAGTTCCAGGACAGCCAGGGCCGTTTCACAGAGAAATCCTGTCTTGAAAAAAAAAAGAATAGCACACATTGAAAAGAGAACAGGAAGATGTTTAAAATACCTGAAACTACTAGAAGTTAAAAAAAAAATTTGGTGTAAAATAAGGTGACAGTTAGATACATTGATGAGTCTAGTTGAAGAGAAAATAAACAAATTAGAAAATAGATCTGAGGGAATCAGTGTCCATGCAACACAGGGAAGGGACAGTGGGTGTGATGGTTGTTTGTGATGTCACCTGGCCTTTGTGACCTGTAATTGGTCAGTGTGAGCTTCGGTATGGGGAGAATGGAGGAAGAGGAGGCAGAAGAATCAGTAGGACATTCCTGTGAAGGGCTTGAAGACTGGGCTAAGGTTCCTGGCTTTGTCTTGAAGCAGTAGGGAGAAGGCAGGCGTGAGAGCAGGGCAGTCCCTGAAGTTGTATGCATCAACGTGTTCACACTGTTGCCTAGTGCAACAATGGATGGCAGAGGAGGCTGGGGGCTACTCAGGGCTTGAGTTTGTGGGGCCACAGGAAGTGCCAGGATGGGGTAGGGTTAGAGGAAGAGATGGCTCAGACTGAAACCAGACAGTGTCTCGCTCCTTTTCCATCTTGATCAGCCCAGCAGCATGCTCTGCTTCAGCAGACTTAAGTTCCACAGGCAAAGCTGAGCAGCTCCACAGCCACTGTTCCAGGGCCTGCTGTCCAAAGGAGGCCCAAGAAGCCACCCACCTGTGGCTGGAGAGGCCAGCGCCGGCTTCCTGTCCAGAGTGGAGTGTAAAGAGAGCAGTGGTGGATTCTTCCTGCCTGAGGGGCTGAATGTGGAGGGATCCCAGATGCCACCAGAGGAGCCATGTGTGCCCTGTGTCTACCCCATCCATCGGCTAGGGTGGCCTGGGTTGTGCCTGGATGGCAGAGGCTGCCCACATCTGTCTGAGTCTCCTCCCTGCCCACAGGATGTGGAGGGTTGTGTGTCTTCTTGAAATAGCAGCCAGCTGGAATTTGGACTTGGGAAACATAGCCCTGGTTCAGCCAGGCCAGGCAGGGGCAGGAGGTAGACTCCACAGCCTCAGTGACTCCCCTGGCAACCACCTTGCCATCTCCTACTCTGATGCCACTTTCTCTGGTCAGGCAGGCCCCACGTATAGCGAGAGTGGCATCTCCTACCATAGATAGGGCTGTGGTTGTCATGCAGATTCCCTGTGAGGCTTGCTCCCACCTTCTAGATGTTAGCACATGAGCTCTGTGTCAGCCACAGGAAATAGATGACACCTCAGACATGTCATTCAGCCACCCATCTGTCTTGTTTTTTCTTTTGTGGTACTGGTGATCAAACCCAGGACCTAGCACTTACTAGATAAGTGCTCTGCCACTGAGCTATGTCCTAAGCACTTTTCATTTTACTTTGAAACAAAGTCTTGCTATGTATCCCAGACTGGCCTTGAACCTACCATGTACCTCAAATTGGTCTCAAGCATGCAATCCTCCTGCTTCAGTCTCTTGAGTGCTAGGGTTACATGCATCATCCATGATGCCTGGCACCCCTCTCCCAGGCTCCCTTCCATTTTTCCTGATGGCCTTGAGCCAGCTCTGTGAAGGAGAGAGAGTGTAGCTTGGCGCCTGAGTTCCGATACCGAGCTAGACTCCTCCCATCAGCAGTAGCCCCGGTACCCTGCCCCCTCTGCCTGGCTCCTTGCCCTACAGCTCCATTGTCCCAGACCTGTGGGCTCAGCAAGCGTGAGCTGAGTGAGGTCTTCCCCACACCCTGGCCACAGGATGTCCTCGTGTATGCGGGAACTGCCGGGAAAGCCACTCTGCCTATATTGAGGTTGGGGGCGGGGCAGCCAGTCTGGTCTGAAAGCTCTCCTCCCACAAAGACCATGGGGCAGGAGTGGAAGGCACCGGAAGCTTCTAGCTGTTGCTGGTCTTTATTTCCAGCAGAGCAGCCTGATGGCTTTGTAAGCCTCTCAGTGCCCATTGTTCCCAAGGGACATAGTTCACTGTCCAGGCCTTTGCCTGGGCTGTTCCTCCCGTCCCTATCCTGACAGTGTGCAAGGCCTGCCACTGGCCAGTGATGCTCCTGAGGGCTAGGAGGAGTCTGAGGGATGAGACTTCAAAGATGACCCGACACATTCCTGACCCTGGATTCCTTTGTTCCTATGGGGAAGGCACTGAGGTCCCAGCTTGCTATGTTATTCAGGGTGTGTTCCACTACCCCTTAGGGCCTCAGTGGCCCCAGCAGTTATGTGGGTACAGAAAAGTAGGGCTCAAGTTTTTTGATGGAGTGGAGGAGTTTGGGGGAGTGGCAGGCTGGACTGGCAGGTGGGAACAGGTGCACTGCTTACAGAAGCCTACCAGCCCTGGTGTTCCTGCCCACTGCACGAGCAAAAAGTCAGGATGGGAGAGCCAGAAGGCTGGCCTGTTGATGACAGTGCGGTATGACCAAGGCCTGGGTGCCTGCTTCAGGTTCCTCCAGTCATCCAGTGGGAGCGTTTCCAAGCGTTCCTCCTCACAGAGGTGGGGTGGGGTCATGCTATGGCTCAGAATGCAAGCCCAGTCCTGGTGTCTAGGGACCTGTCTCCCTCCATGCCCTTCTCAGACTACAGCCTGACCCATCTCCTGCTGTCCCAGTACACCCTGAACATTCTCTGACCTCAGGGTCGTCTGTGGGGACCATCTTCTTCCTAGTCCAGCAGCAAGTGATGTAATTTAGAGCAAGGGCTTTAAAGACGGGTAAACTGAGATTTAATTCTGGCTCAGCCACACACTTGCCATGTGACATAACTTCTTTTAGCCGGGTTGTCTCCTCTGTAAAATGAAGTTATAGCAAGAATTTGACTGAGATAATGAATGCATATGCCAAGAGTATATCCAGGGCCTGGCCTGTAATAAGCGATCCATCATTGACAACTGCAGGCTTATTGACAACAATAAGCATCATACTTCATTAACCATCACACAATATGATTAGAAGACTTAAAATTTACATAATAGATAAGGTTTATATATAGAGAGACATGTATATATGTGATACACACATATAAAGTGTTTTATATATATACATATACATGTATATATATATATATATATATATATATGTATATGTATAAAGTGTCATCCTCATGGTGAACTCCTAGGCACGTTTTATTACCTGCTTTGACGTCACCAGGATTTGGTGCTCCCTACTGATTCCCAGGCTTTAAATACATTGAGCTGTGCATCTCCTACTCTGATTTTCTCTGCCCACTCCCCACCCAGCTCAGACAGGCATACAGAAGGCAGTTGTTCCTCTTCCCCTAAACACGTGTAAGCCCTTTGCAACTAAGCTTTTCCTTGTCCACATCCTGATCTGATCTCGGGCAGGTCTTGGAGAGGCGGGGCTAACAAGAAAGCATTCTTTCTGTAGATGTAAGGAAATAATATTGGCCCTGGCTAATGTAAACAGAGCCTTGTTGACCCAGCCGGGCAGGGCGTGAAGCACCTTCCCCCGCACTGCCTCATCCAATACTCAAGCCACCCAGAGCAGCAGCTATTTTTATCTTCATTTTACAGATGAGGAAGTTGGCGTGGAGAGCTGGCTCAGACTGGCTCATGAGAGCCGATTGTTAAATTTTTAGGAATTGTGTGAGCTGCTTGTTAGACACAGCCATTGTTCAGAACTAAATTATATAAACTTACAACTGAGTGATTTGTATTAAAAGAAGCTGATAAATGCTCAGGAGTCATCACTTCCTAATTACTTTCCTACATCAGGCTATTATCAGCGTGCTTGAGGTAAACTCCTTCTAACTGAATGGTGGAAACGCCTGTGATTGGGAAGGTACTGAGTGCTGAGCTTTATGTCTCTTTGGTGGCTTGGCCTCAGCTAGGTGGGAGTGTTTATACTATGGAGATGCACAATCTCCAGGCATCATGGGCCCCTCCTCTGACCCTTTTTAGAGAACCTGTCTTTGCACATTTACCAACACACCAATGAAGCGGGGACAGAGATGTGACCTGGCGAAGGGTCCTAGCTCAGAAGATGCAGAGCTGGGCTTGAACCCTGGACAGGATGTCTTTGAGGCCGATGGACTGATTCTGCTCAAAGCCTAAGTTACAGACCTGAATTACCAGGTCCTCTGTCCTGTGTTTCCAAGTCCAGCAGTGAGAAGGATCCTTCCTGTTCCTCTACACAGCCCCTTTGCCTTGCTCAGGGCCCTCCTCTTTCCATTCTTCCTCCCTCTTAAATGCTGCCTCCCCAGGGGCTGCTAAGCCGTGCACACAGGAGCCCAGCAGGCAGAGGCCAGTGTTGTCTGGCCATCTGCCAGCTGGCAATGGGACTGCCTTCCATGAGACAGGGGGCTGCCTTGCTGTGTGGTTGGCCTCTACTGGCCTCACCTGAGTCTCTTTATCTCACCTGGCATGCCAAGCCCCTCCCACCGCCACCAACAGTGGCATTCTCTCCAAGTCCCACTTGACTCTCTACCATGCTGTTGTCCTGGCAGAACAAGACCAGGTCATTAGTTCTTTGCTCTGCACCCTCCTGACTTCCCCATGGAGGAGCCCACTCCATCTGGCCTCTCAACCTTGTCCTTTTGCGGCGGACACTCTGGCCCCTTTCCTGCCCCTCAGACATGCTAAGTGCACTCCGGCCTGCTCCCCCAGTATACCTGTAAACGTTTCCTTGTCTCCCACAGGCCTTTGCCGAGGCGAAACTTCCCAGACTCTAATCTCCTGTCCGTGCCCTTTGATCCTCCCTAGTATTCCTCACCCTCTTGCACAGCTTATTAATTATTACTGCTATTGTGTTATCTGTGTGTTTTTCTTCCTTAGAATGTAAGACCTAAGCAGGCAGGACTCTGGTGTTCATTCACCCATGAATCCCAGACACCTAACATTAGTGCATTGCAGATGCCCTCTCTTAGTTACTATTCTGTTGCTGTGGAGAGACCCAGGACCAATGCAACTTACAAAAGTATGGTGGTTTGAATGAGGATGGCCCCCGCAGGCTCATGGATTTGAATGTTTGGTTCCTAATTGACTGTTTAGGAAGGATTAGGAGGTGTGGTCTTGGAGGAGGTGTGTCATGGGAGTGGGCTTTGAGGTTTCAAAAGCCTATACCATCCCAGTTAGCTCCCCCTCTGCCTCCATCCTTGGGATAGGATGTAAGCTCTCAGTTACTGCTCCAGCGTCGTGGCTGCCTGCCTGCTGCCACACTCCCCACGGTGAGGGTCATGGACTCACCCGCTAAACCTGTAAGGAAGTCCCCGTTTTCCTTTATAAGTTGCCTTTGTCACAGTGTCTCTTCACAACAATAGGACAGTAACTAAGATGTGTCCCTCCCCCTACTTTCTGAATGAATAAATGCACACATGCATGAGTGAATAAGTGAATGGCGGGGTTTCCAGTGTTCAGGATAGTCTCTGTAGCCTGCTGGGAGTGAAGGCAGCTGAGTGACCTGGCAGATGGTAAGACCTGGAGTTCCAGACTCAAGTGTGCCCTGATTTGCTGCGTGACCTTAGGTATCAGATCCCCTATCCTCCCTGAATCTCTCTTTCTCTTTAGTACTTGTAAAAGTTTGTTGTTGTTGTTGTTGTTTTTAATTTTATGTGTGTGAAGGTTTCTCTACATGTGCAAGCACTACATGAGTGCTTGATGGTTACAGAGGTCAGAAGAGGGCATCAGGTCCTCTGGAAGTAGAGTTACAGATGGTTGTGAGCCACCGTGTGGGTGCTGGGAACTGAGCCTGAGTCTTCTGCAAGAGCAAAAATTGCTCCTTAACCTCTGAGCCATTTCTCCGGCCCCTCTCTCGAGCATAATATAGAAAGTAATGCAGGCCACGCATGGTGGTGGTGCACATTTTTAATCCCAGCAGTCGGGAGGCAGAGGTAGGAAGAACTCTGTGAGTTTGAGGCCAGCCTGGTTTTCATAGCATGCTCCATGCCAGCCAGGCCTACATAGTGAGAGCTTAAAACACTGCATTGTCTTAAAACAATGTGGGCTGGGGATGTAGCTCAGTTGGTAGAGTGCTTGCCTAGCGTACATGAGGCCCTGGGTTTGATCCCCAGTAGCACATAAATCCAAAGTTCAAAGTCATCCTTGGCTATGTAGCAAAGTTCTGGCCAGCGTGGGCTTTAGGAAACCTTATCTCAAAAAGTAAGCAAGCAAAACTAAATGGCAAAGCCTGAGGAACTCAGGCCCCGGGGCTAGGCGGACAAAGGTCCCATTTCGACCTGTGGAGCCTTTCCCTCTGAATCTTGACCTCATCTGTGAGGTAGGAAGCCTTGGGCTGGCACTCTGTGTGAGCCAGTATTCCACGACTCACAGAACATGGAATAAACTGGAGGGATAGAAGAGATGGAGCTCCATATCCCCTAATCCCGTGCATCCCCCCCGCCTGCTCTGTGTGCCAGGCGCTGGAGGTGTCCTCCCAGGGCTGCTTCCTCCCTCTGGATCCAGGCTCAGCTGTGGCTCCTTGCACTTGGCCTTAGCCAGGACCCGCACACCCTCCAGCTCTCCTCTCTTCTCTCCACAGTGTTCATCTGCAGCTTCATGGTGGCTGCCCCCATCTTCGGCTACCTGGGTGACCGATTCAATAGGAAGGTGATCCTCAGCTGTGGCATCTTCTTCTGGTCGGCCGTCACCTTCTCGAGCTCTTTCATCCCTCAGCAGGTGAGGTCCCCCATGGTTCTCCTGCTTACACCCCACCACACACACACACCCCGTGTCCGATGTACAGGTCCCTTGGGGAGTGCTGGTCTGTGCTCCTGTAGACCGAGGCCTGCTCCTGAGCTTCGCCTCCAAGGCAAAGCCATAGCAGCTTTCTTTGCATTCAGTTATAAACCAGCCCTGCAGACAGGGTCTCCTCTGTACTGGCCTGGACCAAAAGACTTGCAGCCCTGTGTGCCAACCTGACTATCTGAGCAGCCTGGCAGGATGTCAGGAACAGGGAATAAGTCTGCCCCCACCCCCACATCCCACCCCAGTTCTCTTGCTGTGCAAACCTTACTCTCTGACTCACTCTGTTTCTGGCTCAGTTTGCTCTTTGATGACCAGTCAACTCCTTGAATCCAAGTCCCAGGAAGGCAAGTGTCAATTCAACATCAAAGTTTCTTAAGAAATACTCTCCGGGCGGTGGTGGCACACGCCTTTAATCCCAGCACTCAGGAGGCAGAGCCAGGTGGATCTCTGTGAGTTCAAAGCCAGCCTGGTCTACAGAGAGAGATCCAGGACAGGCACCAAAACTACACAGAGAAACCTGTCTCAAAAAAACAATAAACAAACAAACAAAAAAGGAAATACCCTTGACTTTCACAGTCCTGGGTTTGAATATCCCAACTTTGTTGCCCACTCAGCTTTGTGACCTGGAGAAATGTGCTTCACCTCTCTGAGCCTCAGTTTCCTCCTTGTTAAAGTGGGAATAATCCTACGCTGGCTGGTCCTCTGTGAGAAGCAACTGGGTTGATGAATGTCCAGCTGTGGAGCATGGCCAGTGTCCAGCAAATCCTCTTTTCTGTTCATTCTTCCCAAGAAGGCCTGTGTTGTCTCATGAGGGCAGTGAGCTTCTCATGGCTAGTAGTCAGCCATGTGATAGCATCTGTGGAGAGCAATGGAGGAAGAAGAACTAACTCTTCAAGAGCTTTCTGTCTGTCCCTGTCAGATGTGACAGGAGCTTCAGGCTCACAGCCTTCAAGCTGTCCAAAGTGCTGAACACTGAAGAGGAACTGGCCCTTGTGGTCCATGGGTTCCAGGAAGTCTTCCTGGAGGAGGTGACACATAATCTAGCAGACATGACTGAGAAACCATGACTTATGGTGAAGCTGACACAGGCAGGGGGCCATATCCAAAGATGCAGAGATAATGGATTGTGTTGAGAGAAAAAGAAGGGTATCATGGCTGGAAAGGAAAGCAGAGACCAGGCCAAGGAAGGCCTTGAGTGCCAGGCCTGAGGCCCAGGCCTTCCTCCTGCTGCGTCACTGAGCCCTGGAAATCTGAAGGACAGGGAGGAGCCATATGCTCATTGGTAAACCAGACAGGTCTGCTGGAGCTCACTTTGCTTCAGGGAGGTGGTTCAGGTCCAAGGCAATTCCAGGCCCAGTGCAGGGTGGAGCCTGATGCTCACCCTAGAAACAAAGACCAAGCTAGGAGCCTTCACAGCCCCCTGTGCCTTGCCCTGCCCCTGGCTGGGCCCCTGGGGCTTCTTCTGAGATTGATGAATGAATGAGTCCAGGCCTTGATGCCTTCTGTGTTGGGGAGAAGAGATGAGCAGAGAAAAAGAGAGAAACAGACAGATCACTTTCAATTGTTTTGTAAACTCACGGTGATCACCATTCAAGCCCCACAGGGGCTTTTGGGGGACATTGGCAATGTGATTTTAAAGTTAATTTGGCAGAGAAAATGCTCCAAACAGCCAAGAACAATGTGAAAGATAACAGTGAATGGGGTTCGCCCTATCAGTTGTCAAAACAATGGCCGTTCTGACTAAAGCAGCCAAGGGACAAACTAGGCAGTGATTGATCCATGAAGCAAGGCCCTAGGGAGTGGGGAGCCAGTGCTTGCTGGCTGAGGGCACATCTCTCACCAGTAGCTCCCGGGAAAAGGGTACTATGTCAACCACGGTGCAGAATAAACTACAGATGGGGAAGGGAAAAACCAAAGCAAGACTGAGAAACCTAAACTGTAAACTAACAAGAGAAAGACAACAATGCTAGGAAAATAAGCAAAGGGTTGTGAAGGCATTCCAGAGCATGACCAATGGCCAGTGAATGGAGGAAGAGATCCCTCGGCCTCCAGAGGAATCAGAGAAATGCAAAACAAAACAACAAGATACCATTTCACACCCATAGATTGGCAACAATTAAAGAGGCTGACAATACCAAGTGTTAGTACAGCTGCGGGGAGCCCTAGATGCCTAGCTGTTGGTGGGAGTGTAAATTGGTGAAGCCTCTTTGGGCATCAGAATGTCAAGATACTGTAAATCCCTGCTGTGTCCCAGCTTATGTCTGGAAGGACACAGGCTAGAAAAAACCCCAGCATGTGGACAAACAAACGTGAGGATCCCTCCTGGCATCAGGGGAGCCTGGAAAGATGGCTCAGTGGTCAAGAGTACTTACTGCTCTTCCAGAGGACCCAACTTGCGCTTCTCAGCTCCCATATAGGGTGGCTCTCAACCACCTATGACTCCAGTTCCAGGGGATCTAACTTCCCTCTTCTGGCCTCCGGTACTGCACACACACACACACACACACACACACACACACACACACACACACACACCTACCTTCACAACCACACATGCATACACATTATTAAAAATATTTAAAAAACAAAAGGAAAAAGAGAGGCTGAAAGATGGCTCGCTGGCTAAGGGTGCTTGCCATGCAAGCATGAGACCCTGCGTAAGAGCCAAGTGTGGTGGTGTGCTCCCATAACCCTGGGGCTCGGGGAGTGGGCACAGCTGGCTCCTGGGAGCTCACTGTCTAGCTGAATTGGCCGGCGCCAGGTTCAGTGAGAGACCCTATTTCTAAGAATAAGATGGAGAGCAATAATAGAGGAAGACACCCAGCATTAACTCCTGACCTCTCTTTGTACCTACACACACTCTCGCACACACTTCTTGTGTGTGCACACACAAAGAAAAGGAGAGGAAGGAAAGGAGAGGGAGGGAAGGAGAGAGGAAGGAAGGGAGGGAGGGAGGGAAGGAGAAAGGAAGGGAGGGAGGGAGGAAGGGAG